TTATATGGATTAAAACAATTTGGACGCATGTGGTATAATCGCCTTAGCGAATATTTGTTGAAAGATGGTTATAAAAATGACGATATCTGCCCATATGTTTTCATAAAGAAAACAAATATTAAATTTACAATTGTGGCATTTTATGTTGATAATTTAAATTTAATTGGAACTTCTGAAGAGCTCAACAAAACTGCAGATTATTTGAGAAATGAATTTGAGATGAAAGATTTGGGGGAAACCAAATTTTGTCTTAGATTACAAATTTAACATTTTCCAGAGAGATTATTTGTTCATCAATCTACTTATACAGAAAAAGTCTTCAAACACTTTTATATGGATAATGCACATCCATTGCCATCACCTATGGTTGTTCGATCACTTGATGTGAAAAAAATATCTATTTCGTCTACTTGAAGATGAGAAAAGATTCTTGGTCCTGAAGTACCATACCTTAGTGTAATTGGAGTATTAACTTATCTTGCAAATTACACTCGACCTGACATAGCTTTTTCTATAAATCTCCTTGCAAGATATAGCTCTACACCAAATCAAAGACATTGGAATGGTGTTAAACATATTTTTCGTTACCTAAAAGGTACTATTGATATGAGACTGATTTATTCTCAAAAGTCAGGATCTGCTTTAGTGGGCTATGCAGATGCAGGTTATCTCTTCGATCTACATAAAGCTAAATCACAAACAGGATATGTGTTTACACGTGGAGGAACAGCTATATCATGAAGATCTGTGAAATAATTCTTGACAGCAAAATCCTCAAATCATTCTGAAATTATTGCAATCCATGAAGTAGGGCGAGAATGTGTATGGTTGAGGAATATGATCCATCATATCCAATCATCATGTGGATTGACTTCAACAAAAGATGGTCCAACAATTTTGTTTGAAGATAATGCAGCTTGTATAGCACAACTCAAGGGAGGCTATATCAAAGGCGATAGGACGAAGCATATTTCTCCAAAATTCTTTCATATACATGAATTTCAAAAGAATGGTGACATTAATATTCAACAAATTCGCTCAAGTGACAATGTGGCTGATCTATTCACAAAAGCGCTGCTAACATCTACATTCAAAAAATTAGTTCATGAGATTAGAATGCGTCGACTCAAAGATTTTCAGTGATCAACATTAGGGTGAGTAACTGTATTCTTTTTCATTCGCTTAGGTTTTGTCCTATTGGGTTTTCCTAGCAAGGTTTAATGAGGCAGCATTTAATTTTAATACTCCAAAATAATTGTATTCTTTTTCTTTCGTTTGATTTTTTTCTCATTGAATTTTTATCAAACAAGGTTTTAACGAGACAAATATTTTGTAATATGTCATTCAAGGGGGAGTGTTGTAAATGGAAAGTCCATTAAAGTTTATTAGTGAATGACATTTGTACCCCTGTAACCCTAAAAATTATTACCATTGTATCCCCGATTCTTACCTATAAATATAGGGCTGTGATTTTCAATAATACACACAAAAATTTTATTGAGTTTTCTCTATTCTCTTTGAGTTTTCTTTATTCTCTTTTCCTCTCATTTTATAACATAAATCTAAATATAAACATTTTAAGCTTAACTAAACATGCGATGGTTTTTAATTTGAACATCTAAACTTCTATTCAACATGTCATATATAGGGTAAATTAAGGTTGGATTTCTCAATTTTCATAGTGAAGCTATGAGTTCCTACCGTTCAAAAGTCAGGTTTTAGATCCTAAACCCATGTTTAGATGAATGAATTTGGTCCCCAAGTAATGGAGACTATCAATATAGATATAAAAACTTTAAGTAACTATCACATGATTTACAATTCTAGTGCAAACTAGGCGAATCATTTAACTATATTCCATTTAACTAAAAAAAAATTGTGCAATTTTAAAATTTAGATTGATATTTTTCGTCAGTTGGAAACTTATATTAAAATATTTTGGGGACCCAAAATCTTTCTTAAAGGTTGGAGATATAATCGCCAAGCGAAAGTTTGTAGAGCCCAACCATGTAATCCATTCACATTTTTATTATCTTTAGCAAAGCCAAGGAAATTTTTTGATGAACTTGTCACACACATTAAAGTGAAATGATTTTAAACTAATTGTTGGGATTTAAACTTTTTAATGCAAAACAACAACATTAAAGTGAAATGATTTTACACTAAAAATGTCACTAAAATATAAAAGAGCTCTGGTACATCTCTGAAGCCAATGAGAATTGCATAACAAGCCCCCCAGGGCACTTCTCCACTGGCAAAGGATGGACGCTGTCAAACCTGGCAGAGCAGAGGTCGTGAGTTCGAAACATGGGGCTCTTGGAAGGCAATGATTTATTCTTGGAAGGCAAGGGAACATTTGGAAGGCAAGGATTTATTCTTGGAAGGCAAGTGGGAACTTGGAAGGCAAGGATTATTCTTGGAAGGCAAGGTGCAACTTGAATTGGCTTGCTTGGCACTTTGTCAGACCAGGTGGGGAGCGCTCGGACCCTGGCCAGTTGGAGGCACATCCTGCGATTAACCGGACTGTGTGAAGAGGGGCCGGATCACAGACCCAAGGATTAGTCTAGAATAGGACACCTTGTAAAAAAAAAAAAAAAAAGAATTGCATAACAAGTTGTGACATTAGGATATTAGACAATGTCTGAAATTCAATACATCCCAAGTGAGACTTTGATAGCTGTATGACAACATAAATATAGATATTGTGACGATGTTCGTCTAGATACAGATGCTCTATTTGATAGAATGGACCAATAAAATTGAAGTTTTATCTCTAATTATGAGTTTTGAAAAGTTAGGTGGATCTACTCGTGCTTATTTCTATCACAAATGGGCTTAGTAAACTTAAGATTTAACGGATTATTTATTTAAAATTGATTTAGTCTAACTATTTTTTAGTGTCTATGAAACCCAAAAATAAATCGTCTTTAAGACTGCGAGTGTGAAGTTGGAAATTTTGAATAATGAAGTCTCAATTGGAAATAATCATAAAGGAAAATTAATAATTAAAAGCAAAAATTACGCCACAACAGGTATTTAAAGATGTCAATTATAAAATCAAGTATAAAGTATACTTTTCAGCACAAATTAGGTTTTTAATCAAAATTAATATTACTCCACTCACTCTCTCTCTACCCCAATTTAATCCAATGACATCTTTCTACCCCCATACTCTTCAATGCCATCTTTTGGATTTTCATTGGTTTTCCCTAGCAGAATTGTTGTATTAAAACATAGTGGAGCCGTCAATTGGTTGAGAAAGTCCAAACGCTCGAAAGAAATTTTTCAAAATATGTTCCAGAATTTGGATCAATTGCTTGGTTAATTGGTTCAGCTGATGGATTGCCCACAGGTCATAGGTCACATGTCAAGTGCATAAGTCACATATCACAAATATAAGAGATTTGGTTACAGATCGTTGGATCAGATCATAGATCATATGTCAAAGTGCATAGATCATATATCACAAATTCAAGAGATCTAGTCACGTTATGATCGTCAAAGTGCATAGATCACATGTCACAAATTCAAAAGATCTGATCACATGCCATTGATTTCTTTGACCCTAGTTATCCAGATTGGTTACAAATTCAATTAACCATATTTTGACAATGAGAATTGAAGTTATTTGCTCATATAAGTATTCTATAAATTACACAGGTCGATGTTCTCTAACGATCGCTATGTTTCTCCCTCTATCTCTACTATTTGAATTGGTGATACTCATGTTCATCATTGAAGAAATCATCAAAGGGTGGATGCCAAATACTGGTACGCGAGGGTGGAGTGGCGTAGGTACGTAGGTGTTGATAGATTAATTTAATTTGAAAATATTATTATTTACAGAATTAATACATGACTTTTGCTTTTTTAAACTTAATGTTTGAAATTTGATTTGAAGCATTCTTGATACCTGACCTATGATTTTTTCCTATTAAAAACTGAATGATGAACAGTGGTAGGCCGTAGCTTGATTGGTTTAGATTAGGACCGTTTTGTAATTTTAATGCAAAATGTGAATGACTTGGCCTAAAGACTTCAGCCTCATTTCTTAAATGGATAGAGTGAGGTCACTAGTATCCTAATTTGTTTGTGGTTTTCTTTTTCTTATAATTAGTAAGCCCATATTGGATGGGGATTAAAATTAAATTTTTTAGTCATTTTTGATAAAAAAAAAATGATGAAATATGCGGTTTAAAAATTGTGAATTTTATGAAATATGCGATTAAAATTCATTGCCGATTTTAACTTAGATTAAAATTTAATTTTTCATCTTTATCAAACTCAGGCTAAATTATATAAAGGAATAAACCTCCTGTACAAACCCATTTGCACAGGGTCTGTACATTGGTTTTCACATGGGGGTGGCATTTTATATAAGGGAGATGCTATTCGTACAGACCCATGTAACCGCCCCCATGTAATAACCCATGTACAGACCCTGTGCAAATGGGTCTGTACGAATAGCATCTCCCTTATGTAAAATGGTAAATCTGAATGATTTTTTGAGCATCAAATGATGAAATTCCCCATTTGATCCGCCCCGCATTGTCTGGATCCAAATGGAACAAAGATAAGGATCATAGTTCGTCCCGAATTCCTCGAACCTATTTCGAATTTTTTTATTTTTTATTTTTCAATATAAATCAAATTGAAAAAAGTAAAATATTAATGTTAAAAATTAGTTAAATGGAACAGTAAATGAAGATATTTCTAATTCTCGTCCCTTCGTGTTATCTCCCTGTCCATTGCCATCCCTAACCTAGGTTCAAAATCATAACATTGACATGTCAATGTAAATTCAAACTAATAATTTCAAATCAATAGTTTCTGTTCAGCCCCCATAAATAACTTCAATTTTCCGAGGCCAAGTCTACACGGAGGTGAATGAAATATCAAAAACTTCAGGGGAAGTTTTGTAAATAAGACAAACCAAAGAGGATTTTAATGCAATTTGTTCGTCCTTCCCTCCAAATCCCCTTACACGCGCATCTTTTGGTATTTTTTATCTTCAACAATGTACGGTTAGGGCTTTGCTAGAACTGTTCTTCCTAGGGTTTTAAAATTCTCTCTAAAAAACTGAAACTTACACCGCAAAGAAGAGAAAGAGAAAGGATTAATGGCAAGGCACAGGAGCCGAAGTTGGAGCCGGAGCCGCAGTCCTGTAAGACGCAAACGCTACGATGATCCCCGTGATCGCCGTCGTGAACGTCGCTCACCCGCCCCCTCTGGCCTCCTCGTTCGCAACATCTCTCTCAGTGCTAGGTGCTTTTTTTTTCCCCTTTTAGTTCCCTTTTCAATTTCCTTTTTGGGGTGCGTCTGTGTAATATATTGCCAATTTATTGAAGATTTCAATTTTTTTTTTCTAGAATTGAGAACTTCCAAGGTTTATAACACAGGAAATTTAGTAAAACAGTTGAAAATTCACTTACGAATGGCGGGCATACTTTAAAATTTGGACAGTTTTATATTGTATGTTCGAACGTCAGCTCTCAGTCTTGAAAATTGGTATCCATTTTCAATTGAAAAATGCTTTTTCATTCCGTCTATTGCTGTATAATTCACTTCTGTACTTTTGAAATGTTATATTTGATTGTCCATCAGGAATTTCATGCACGATAATCAAAATTACACCCTTAAATTACAAGGAATTGATAATTTAGTTTACATATCATATATATAAGTATTTTGTGAATTTCTTTTCCTTCCGTTTTAGAAAATTTAAATCATTCTCGTTCTATATTTTGGGTAATTTGGGGATTTAAAAAAAAATTTCTAGCCCTTTTACATAAGCTAAATTTGTTTGACTCTATCTTGATCCTGATAATTAGGATGCTTTGCAGTGGCGAATCATGTATGTTAGGCATATTGTACAATTATATAATTTAAACTTCCATTTAAACAAGTTTAAATTTTGGTGCTTTTAAACTTCATATTGTATATTTTTTATTCTCTTTCTCTTTTATTTGGTGACTCAAGTAATAGTCCAGCTTAAAAAGAGTTGAATTCTCATTCTTTTAGGTTTAGTATGCTTAATTGGTTCTTCTATTTTGTTTTTCATCAAATATCTGCATCTCTTTGGTAAAGTGAAAATAATGTGTTGATTACTATTCTGCAGGCCTGAAGACCTTAGGATTCCGTTTGAAAGATTTGGGCCAATAAAGGATGTTTATTTACCCAAGAATTACTACACTGGGTATGCTTCTTCTTAGGATATTGTTCTATGCTTCAAGCATCTTTAGTACTTTTTTCCGAGTCTCTCTTTTGCTCAGTGCCTTAACTCATGCTATATGGGTTCTTATTCTAGTACCTTTTGTAATGATTGTAGGGAGCCTCGAGGCTTTGGATTTGTGAAGTTTCGTTATCCTGAAGATGCGGCTGAGGCAAAGAGCCACCTGAATCGTACAGTGATTGGTGGACGTGAAATAAGAATTGTTTTTGCTGAGGAGAACAGGAAAACTCCTCAAGAAATGCGTAGGACTGGAGGTGCAAGGTTAGAACTTGTTAAAGTTTTGCTTTTCCTTGTCTGTTGCTTGGTTTTCTAGTTCTCTTGAGATATTGGATGATGTCATTGAGTTGGAGCTAACGTTTAGTTTCCACTTTCTTTACAGCTCTCGGGGAAGCCGCAGAAGGCGGAGTCCATCAAGGTCCCCCAGACGCAGATATCACTGTCAGTGTGATCTTTCTGTTCATCCCCATGTTTGATAACTCAGAATTTTATTTTTATTTTTTAAAAACCAGGCCAGAGATCTGTCAATTGTTTATGTGATTGCATGCTGATTGTGACCCTTCATATAGCATATTTCTATGTCAATAATTGTTATTTTTATTTTCTCATTATCCTCCTCAATGACTTTGTATTTATCTGTGCCAGCTGACTCACGCTCGCGTTCTCCTGCTCGACGTGACTCCAGGTCTGCTTTATGACTGTGACTGTAACTGTAAATTAATTTTATTTTGCTTTCTACACAACTGTTTACCTATTCTTCCTTCTTCTACATGTCCTGGGAGTATTTTTTGTTAAAATTTCAACTTTCTATCTGAAGTCAGTTTCAGATCCCTTATCGCATCTCAAGTTTTAGAGCAATTCGTGCTGTTTGCATGTTGTGGGAACTGTATAA